GTTTTGAAGATTTCAAGCTGAAATTTGATACCCTGTTGACTGACTCTATTATAGCAAGAAGGAGGGCATTTGCAGGGAGGACCACACTCGTACACGAGGGCCTTTGCTTCAACAATTGCCCCATTATGATTAAATGGGATTTCTCCACCATTCTTGCTTATACACAAACATTTCCCGGATTCTGAACATCCATTGGTACAATCACAACCCTTAGGAGGAGTAGGGTTACACCAATCAGGGTAAATCATGCCAGTTACATATTCAAATGATGGTGGCTTCTCATCATCTATGGTGTTCACAGCACAAATAGGAATTAACTCTTTCCCATTTGAAATATCATTTACGCAAACACCCTCTCGTACTTTGGACGTTTTGGACTTCTTCACTACTTTCCAAGCAAGTTCAGGTTGACCAGGAAGCCGGACCAACTTAAACTTAAAGACCAGCTTACCATGTGACCCTTGCTCCTGCCATAATTCCACAACCTCATAAAGCCCATCATAGATGTATGTTCTAGATTTTGAATCTGATGAATCAGATGCCTTCATCTCACCACGAATCACTCTTACAGGATTATGTGCATGTTTGCTATTTGTCAAAGCAAGATTTCCTCTTTCAAGCTTCTGATCTTCAGGTTCCTTATCTCCAACCTTCATGACATTTCCTCCCTGGCCAGTGTAAATCAGAACATCTGAGTTATCCAACTCATCATCATAGCCTCCAGAAGCAACAATACTGGTAGCAAGAAGCTTTCCACCTTCCTTCACATAATCTATGCCACCCTGAGTAGGGCGATGGAGACCGATGATATTAAGCTCTACTCTGTAATGAAACTCATCACCAATATCAACCCCTGGGACAGATCCAATGATTTGCTTGCCAGTGTTAACATACTTCCTTTTGTTCTTAAGAATCTTAGCAGCTTCATAGTCAATTCTCCTACCTTTCAATCGCTCCTGAGGCCTCGCTTCTTCTTCTTGCAAGAGCTTCCTACAGATAAGGTGGAACAACCGCAATGTTTCCCTCACTTGGTTTCTTGTGGCAATTGCATCATTATCGTCACCTCTACCCCCAGAATTACCAGGAACAGAAGGAAGTAGACTCACGCTATGAGATCTATGATCCATTTGAGAAACTCTAGATTCCTCATCATGGCCCAAAGGAACCTTCATTATTAAGATTCAGATTCTTCTCAGAACATATTTTTCCAGAGTTTTCACATTCACTGTCCTTTACTTTCTGAGCAGGTTTCTTTTGTGGTTGTAGTATGAAATCATGATTCTTCTCTTTTCTTTCACCTGCACCACCAAGCACATTACGTTTGGTGACCTTTCTTCCCTGCCTCCAAGGACAAGTTTTTGCAGCCATGAGTCCCAGTACCAGCACCCTCCCCGAAGTAAATTCTGAATAGCCTGAACTTTCATCTTGAAGTTTATTCTCAAAGCTAGTCGTATCTGAAATCCGTCTTCCATTATTGTTTTCCCTTGAGTAAATTACTATTTGCCTCTCCATGTTTTCCTCCAATAGTCCAATACTCTTTTCGTCTGTTTTTTCAAGTGACTCGGTCTCAAGATGCAAACGACTAGTATTAGTTTTACCAGAAGTATCACTCTGTTCTTTTGCATCTCCCAATGCCAACTTGTCCTCCTCAGGAAGTATTTTGAATTCTTTGTTCTTTCCCCTTTCTTTGGAGAAAATGCCATCAGATTCAGGTTGAACTTTCTCCCCTATTTGACTGACATCATCACCTTCCACTCTGCTCTTGCGATTGTCTTCATCTAGAACAGCCTGCCTTATTTGTTTAAAATCAGCCTTCATTGTAACATCTCCATTACAATACTTCTCTGGGCCTGAATTCTTGTTCTGTACAGAAGCAACAATTTCTATTATCTCTTCACTAGTAAGATGGGAAGCATTAATTCCAACATTTGGAGGGAAGTCTCTAACAGCAGAAACATTTCTTCGAGGAGGATAATTTCTAATTGAACTCTTATTTAAATAAATGCCATGTGAAATAACTGGCTCACCAAGTGGCAAAAAGGATTTCAAACAACCTTTGGGAGCAATCTCTTCCTTTGCAGAAAGATCAACTTTATTTAATACCTCTGATGCATTCAAGTTTCCACCATTTTCAAGCTTTAGCACTGACTTTTCAACATGTCCAGGTTCAAGATCTAGCAACGGCGTCCCTGTAGACTCAGCTTTCACTGATTCAAGCCCATCCACCTGATTAGATGAGTTCATCAGCTTTTCTCCAACAGAATCCATATGATCTCTCTGTCCTACCATCAGTGACAGATCTTGGGACTGGGACTCATTTCCAGTTGCAGAAGATCTATCACAATCAACATGCAATGAACCACAACTTTCATCCCCATTTACAGACTTTTCAATGGTACCAGAATATCCTGCTTCTTCTCCAGGTGTTAAATTGATCTGTGTGGGAAACCATCCACACCCAGGTGGGAAATCCCTAACAGCACTAACTTTACGCCGCTTATACTTGCGTACACCAGAAAAGGCAACATAGCGCTCATTTTCCATCAGTATTTCTTCTAATCTTCTCACAGAAACACCATTGCTTAATGAAACCACCTTTGATAAATCTGTATTCAGCCTACTGTCTGCACTCATTTGACTCATATAACAGATTAATGAAAGTGCCCATGAAGAACCTAAATCAAAATATTTATTAACTACAATCAGTCTCAAGCATTTAAAACATGCGTGTACTTTCTCTGCTTGAAAGCCTTATTGTTGGGATAACAAAGCAAATAGAACTTCACATCTCATAATTGATGACATAAATTTCCTAGCCTAACTGTGAGAATAAACAGAATAATCTAAAGAAACGCTTGATTAACAAAGTAATATCGGAAAAACCAAAGGAACAAATGCTCGAAACATTATATTGATAACCTATGAACGGCAAGTAATAGAAAACTAATTCCAATGTCAGTAAAAACGAAAAGGCAGTTCTTCCTTGCATTTGGGAAGCAAAAATCA